AGCCGTTGGTCTAGGGGCTGGGGTTGTGTCTGGGTCGCCCCCTCCGTCGGTCCGCTCTCCTTATTCGCGCACAAGCTTTTCCTTTCGTTTCCTTTTCTTAATAAAAAAAAAAAAAAAAGGGCCCCACTTCGGCTATGAATAAAGCAACAAGCTCAGTAATACCGTGTTGATCCCGCTTTCCTACGAACAGGCTTAAACAGCCGTGCACGTTTTTGTTTGTTTGTTTTTTTTTTCTGAACTGCCTGCGCCTGTATTCTGCCTGCGCCTTACTCGGCATTAAAAGCAATGTAAAGCGTGCGCTTTGCTCCTCCCCCGAGTTACTGGCTGAACTATGTGATCGCGCTTGCACATGACTGCCGCAAGCAAGCGTGGGCTGCGCCCAGATGCGGAGTTTGGAAAACTGAGTGCAGAGACAAGTTATTACTATAGGTCGAGAAACTTACTTGGAAAAGCTTACCGAGTCAGGCATCCTGATATTATACACCTTTCTATCCCGGTGGGTTTTTTTTTTTTTTCCCTTCTGTCAAGATCTTAGTTTTTAAAGCGAAGTTGATTACAGCAGTGACTTGGAAGAACTTATCGGTGATGTGTGTGTCCTGAGTATGCCAGAGAGAGTTAAAAGTAAGATGGATGGTTCAGGTGCTGTAAAAAGTGTTAAGCTGTTATTGTCTGACAGATAGGTTGCACCGATACAGTAATATGCTTGCACAAAATCTTGCATCTATCTTTGTTTTCCTCACTGAGAAGTTATTTGTGTTGGCCTTGGATTTAAAATGCTGAGCTCTTTGGACCATCAGATACATAAACCAAAGCGAACTTAACTGCCTGATTGCATTTGCCTGTTCTTATATTAAATTTTTAATCTATTCTTATATTAAATTTGCAGAAAGTTTTACTTTCTTAAATGGCCCTAATTTTCTATAAACTACTTGTAGATGGCTCTGCAAAGTTCCAGAGGCAAATATGCATTCTTCTAATTGTACATTTGTTTTGTTGTTTTAATGAGGTTGAAACCAATTATGTCTTTAAAAAGCTACTCTAATACTTTAAATGCATGAAGAAGAAGAAGATAAAGCAGTCATCTAATACGTCAGGTTATATTTTTACTCTTGGGTGTAGGTTGTTTTTTTTTTAAGTTCTACAGGGAAAGGGTTTTTTTTTAAAAAAAAAAATCTATGATTACATCAACATCCAGAGGATCGGTAACAAAAATGTTATGTGGAAGTGTCTCATCTTTTCATATCTCCTGCTTCTCGATCATGTAGCGTGTAGAACTCATGGTCTGTTATTTTCTTGGAAAATTGTGACCTGAAATTGTTCATCAGTACAGTTCGAGTGATGGCCATATTATTTTCTTTACTGGCTGTCTATAAAAACTTCAAATGCCTATGACTTCAACAGTGGGGTTTGATCTGTAACTAATATATGTGACTTCTTAGAATTCATCGCAGCTAGTCAGTGAGCTCAGAGGCGCAGCTTGTAGGCTGGCCGTTAATGACCTGGTGCACTTCTACCAGTCATGTCTCTAAGGGCCTTTCCAGCTGGAAAGTTCACGCAGTCTGCCGGCAGCAGCTCGCTCCTGTTCGTCTTTTGGAAATGTGCTACGTCTACTGCCTGTGTCTTCGAGCAGATCAGTTATAGTAAATGTGCTGTATGTGTGAATTAACTCTACCCAACGTGCACAGTAGCCTAGATAGAGGGTCAGGGTCTGAAATTTCTCCTCTAATACTGTGATATAAGTAGCCTGTCTAACTAGAAAACGTGTACATCACTGAATTAGCTCAACAGCAAAAGATGAGGCAGAATCTTTATAAGGGAAGACTGGAAGAGCTGAGCCTAACTTTTACCTTGTATTGCTTTTAACAGACTAACGAGAAATGGATTTGGGAAGACATAAAAACATGCTGTCCCAAATTTGACAACTTGCATATCACTATTACTCCTTAAAACCTAGTTATTTGGATTATCTGTTTAACAACCTGAAGTTTAAAGGAATATTTCAGTTTAAACTAGATTATTACAAGTGACATTCTTGGACTATGCTTAGCAGTTATCTTAAACACAAGCATGACAGATCTGCAATAGATTTGCTAACCTAATTGTTGATTTGGTATGAATTTTAATTAGTCAGTCTCCACAGCTGCAAAATCCAGTTGCTTTGTGTTTTCCTTAGTAGCACATAAATGTAAGTTACTATATTTTCTTGCTTCCCTCCTGTATGAATGAAATTAGCAGCTCAGCAACAAAACTCTCACGTGGAAAGCCTGTTATAGCACAGGAGGAATGTTTTGCATAGGCTTATAATCATGAGCTGCTGATCACAGTAAATAGTTTTAAGGAAGCAGGTAGACACTTTTACGCAGTAATGTTTTCGTCTCATGATTGCCACTAGTGCTAGTGGGATTAAAAAGTGAAGTTGAAAGAATCAAGAGGCTAATTCTATTCACTAGTCTTTCATGAGAGTGTGTTCAGGTTTGATTACATCATTTTATAAATCAATTCAGACATTGACTGGTAGCTTCATTTCTGTTATCATGAATTGAAGGTAGTAGGTGGGACCGAAGAAAGGTGCTTCAAAGATAGGTAAGGAGATGCGAGGCTTTGGGAATATAAGCTGTGATGCATTGGATGATAAGCAGTATAATTTTTCACTTGTATATCTAAAATGTTAGGCTATTTTAAAAAGATTTTTAGTCTTTTACTCAGCTGCAGTAAATGGCATGGGAAAGAAAATTGGCCAGTTTCCAAGTGAACTGGATATGTAATGTACATGTAGTTGTGCGTGAACATTATATACCAGAATGACTTCACTGTGTATGAAGTTCATATTTATCTTCTAGAAACACTGAGCTTTGTTTATAAGTGTCAGTACCTCCGCTCTGCGTCCCCTCCCAAAGATTCTCTTAGCTTTTTAAAAAACGAGAATTGAGTGTATTGTAGTTTAGTCTGAGGTCTTATTCACAATCCCTTATAATGTACATTTGGTTTTTTTTAGAACAGATTACTAGGTAGAAGTTCAGTTTTAAACTGGCATCTACATAAGAACACACTATGATCAAAATCTGCTGCTAAATTTTTAAATTGACACAATGGGGTTTTTTCTCTTTAATATGCGCAGTAAGGTAGAACCTATATTAATGGGATCCCTGTGAAAGAAGTACATGCTACTGAGAACGAGATACCTTTTACCTCAGACTTCCTGAATTTGATACGATTTTGAAGAAAATTTGCTGTCTCTTCTGTAATCCTCTTTTGGGGCTTGAACCTTCCAGATTGTTACCAGAAATCTTTCACAATCCCTAACTAATTCATTGAAAAATCAAAAGCATGCGAGCGTTATTAATGAAATATGTTTTAAAGGATACTGCTTTAAAATAGGTGCATATTGAGGTATTTTTTGCTGATAAATATAAGGTTCTTGGTGTCTGGGAATAAAAATGAACTGGGCAGATACAACACTTGCAAAGATGCATATATCCATTTTATGCTGTCTTGGCCTGCCTTTTACCGTCCTTAGTTTTAAATTTTGTTGTTCCTGCTAAATATGCCTAAAGGAGTAATATAGCTGGCAATGTACTGTGTACACAGAATTGTTCACAAGAGTCTTTGCAACAGCAGGGAGGTAAAATAATAATCCACAAAATACTAAAACTGATTAAATGCGAAGTAGTCTCAAACACACGAAAGTGTGCAGTATTAATGATTAGAGAAGTAATATTAAAGGTATATGTTTAGATAATAATCTAATTTTTAGAATACTATTTCAAACTTGTCTTTTTTTTCCTTTACGTAGAAAAAACCTGCAAAAATATAGTTACAGAAACAGGCATCTTTACCTCAACAATTATCCAATAAAATTGTTATTCTTTTGAACTCTTACATTTACAAAATAAAGACAGAATATTTTTTATTTTTATAGAATGAAACGAGGAAGGAAAATTAATGAGACTAACAACAGTTCATCTGAAGAGGCAGCTGAGAAAGAGTCCAAGAGACACAAGATTACAGATGAGAAAAATGTAATTGTGCGGAGTCCTGACTGGGCTAACCTGCTTCAAGATGTTATCCTGCAGGTATTTCAGTACTTGCCCCTTCTGGATCGTGCTCATGCATCACAGGTCTGCCGGAACTGGAACCAAGTGTTTCATATGCCTGATCTCTGGAGGTGTTTTGAATTTGAACTGAATCAACCAGCTACATCTTACTTGAGGGCTACACATCCTGAACTAATCAAACAAATAATTAAGAGGCATTCCAATCATCTGCAGTATGTAAGCTTCAAGGTAGTGTATTTTATAGGCTCCTTTTTAAAGTAACTTTCTAAAAAGCATTAATTTTTGTTTTCCTTTTATTAGGAAAGATTCAAGGAAATGTCTTTGATACTCTTGAGATAGTTTTCATGATTTGTCTACATAAATATGAGAGCATGAGAAGCATGAGAAGTATGATATAATTAAAATGAGTAATTGAAATGTCAGTGATGATTGACAGCTGTGCTCAAGACATTTTAATTTACGGAAAACTAGAGAACGTGTCACTAAATGTTACAAGAGGCTTATTACCCGATCTTCATGATTAGGATTGCCAGTTATTTTAAAAAGGAGTATAGCAAGTCTTTCTCTGGTAAGCCTAGTTTTCAAGCACAGTATCTTGAAGAAATGAGTTCTCTTAAATAGGTATATAGACATGGAAGTTATCTTCCGATTCATTTGTTTATTTGTATATATTTTCAGGACCCAAACTTAGAGTAACTGTTCTGAAAATACTTTTTCGTTGCCTTATCTGTTTTTTTTTTTCCTTGAAGTATCTTAGCTGCTTAGAATTCTACCTCAACAAATGATCAGAAATATTTCAGTTCTGATACTACTATACATCTGAATACTTGTCTCAGAATTAAGTTTAATCAGGATTCATAAACGAGGCATTTCCCTATTCCATGTTCTTTAGGGAGCTGGATCTAATACTCATGGTTAGAAAACATCTAATGCACAAAAATTCTAAGTGTAATCGTACTAGTATCCAACTAGTAGTTTTAGCCCTAAGTGGTATGGGATTGTCTGCATATGGGATTTAGTCACTACAGACTCTGTTAACTGGAAAAAGCGCACAGGCTTGTGCATCCTTTGTACATCCTTTGTACAAAGGATGATACACCTACCGCTGATGCTTGGCTGAGAAATACCATTTGGTCAAAATTGGCTTTGTTAACATCATAGAATTACTTACTTTCAACAAATTAGAACCTTTAACGTTGGCCACGTCTACATTTCTCGCTGTTTATGAAGGGTGTTGTGAAACAGTCGTGGCTGTTCACAAATTTAGAAAGGAAACTGCTTCTGTAGTAAATCTATCATATACCTTTTGTTTCTGAAAGCTAGCAGTTTCAGTGTTGTAGGAAACATGGGTGTGTGAGTAGTTGGGGCACATCTGCCTGTTCATGTGTATTGCTACTGCTTGATCTGATGCCAGGTGTAAACTGGTTATAACAAGGTGTATGTGTGTATCTCAGCATCTGAATAAAGACAACTTTTAGCTGCATTGGAAAGACTTCAGTGTCTAATTCCAGACATTGTTTTGCACCAGATGTTCTTGAAGAATGTCGGACGTCTTTTACCGGTAGGGGGATACCCATGTGATTTCTTGAATGTGTCCCTAAAATTGTGCCTCCATGTTGCAGAACAGAGACTAAATCTGGAAGAAATTAAGGAGCAAGGATAGTCACAAGGAAGTAGATATAACACTGATTATTATTCTGTCACTGCTGGAAACTTGAATTTTTATTTAGGCAAAGTAAGGGTGGATAGTTGAAAATAAAGGCTTTTCAGCTTGTGTTCGAATGGAAAATGAACATTCATCCGACTACAGGCTTACTTCAGATCGGTTGCTGAGAAGGTCGCATGGCCTATGGCACATTTAAAATTGATCTTGCAATCAAGCTTTTTATTATTTCCTAAGTTTACGAAGTTGTCATGCCTACTGTATACGAGAGATTATTTAGAAAGCACATCTGAGTTTTGAGGAACATCCACTAGAGGCACACTAGCTGATTAAGCTGTGTAACAAGTAGACTAATAATGAAGACTTTTCAGGGTATCCACTGTGTATCTGTCATGGTATTAATGATAAAGGCCTAGTCAGATAGGTTGAGATTATACTTAACCCTCCAGCAGCTCCATGCTGTGAACTGAAGCGCTGAAAAAGGAATCGGCTCTTTTTACGTAGTGAAGTGTTTATAGATTTCCTACATTTTGATAAGTTATAGAGGAAAATGGGGCAGGTTGTGGAGCCGAGCGAGTATTTGCTTGCTTGTTTTTCGATGTGGATTAAATATCTTTGAACAAACTCCTTAGTTGGCCTCTCGCTCTGCTCAATTTTACAGAAGTATTTAGGAGTGCTGTAAATTGATAGTAGATTATCTTAGATTTTTTTATGCATACTTTTTCTGGAAAGAAAAAAAGTTACTGAATTTACATTTAGGACATCAGTAGAATTCAAGTGAGGTTTTTTGTTGCTCTTTTTTTTTTTTTTTTTTTTAAATCACATTTCAACAGGTAACATAAAAATGTTGAAGTGTAGCTACTTGGATTCTTTGTGAAGTGTTTGATATAGTATTTTCTGAAACAATTCATTTTATTTTAAGGTGGACAGCAGCAAGGAATCTGCAGAAGCAGCTTGTGATATTTTATCACAGCTCGTGAATTGCTCTCTGAAAACACTTGGGCTAATTTCAACTGCCCGGCCAAGCTTCATGGATTTACCAAAGGTATTTTAATATGTATATTTTCTTACAGAAGAATATTGCAGTGGTTCGTATAATATTATTAATACTTTAAGAAAAGCTTTAGGGTACGAGTTATAATTTTGGGCAAATAAAACTTTGTTCTTGGACTCTATGAAAGGGAGGAACTGAGGTGTTGTACTAAGATGGATACCTAAAGCTATCATATGAGAACTTGGTCCTGACCTTATTCTTCAAAGTACTCCTTCTGTCTGTTTGCTCTTAATGAAATATTGAGGAATATGTTGCAAGTCAGGAGGTTACAGGTTTATGTCTATGTAATTGTAATGTGGGATTGTGGGGGGACTGTGTTTGGGAGAGGGTTCCTAAGGAAATGAGGCACTTTTATGGTCTAGTAAGTGGTAAAATTTCATCCATATAGACTTGCTGTAGGGATTATGTTGTCATTGAGATCTCTTTCTGAAACGAAGTATGATCATGATTTTCAGAACTTAATATTGTATAGTCAAGTACCAGATTCTTAAGTGTCTGCACTGCATTTTTAAATTAATTCTGTCAAATTTTTACCTGGTAGCATTTAACTAAACATTACATTTTGTTAAAAGGCCCCTAATTGAGAAGACAACGCATCTCTTTTCCGTGCTTCTAAACAAGAGTCCCTGCTAGTGAGGTAGAAATGCGCTATCGCTGAGGAGTGGGAGAGTGGTCGTGGTAACCTGGGCTGCTAGTTCCGTGCAGGACCCTCTTGAGTATTTCTCAGCCTTGATTCCTGAACCCCGCTGTATGTGAATCACCAGATCCAGCTAAACTATCAGCTTGGTCTCAATGAAGTCATTGCTGATGATGGCAACAGGACAAGAAGAAAGTAGGGATAACCTTAGAGAAGGAAATAGGGGATGAGGCAGCAAGGGTAGCAGGGCTGCAGAGGAAGGAGAGAGGGAAGGTTCCAGCGTAGGCAGGATTTAAGCAGGGTTAGCTACTGAAGGATTATTAATTATTATCCTGGGCAGTGATCACAGTCACGTCATGGTGTTCTCTTGAATGTATTTTTAATCCTTAATTTTCAATGAGGCTTTCTAGACATTTTAACTCGATTCTGTAGGGCTTTTTACTCTTTTCGCGTGCTTTCAGAGGTGAATGTGCAAATACCTGAATGTAGTGAAAACAGTTCACAATCTTAATATGTTAGAAATAATCTGTCCTTTTACCTGTTGCATATGTTATTATTTCTTAATCTGTTTTGCTCTTTTACTTTTTTTCCCTGAAAGGGTATGCTGTGGTTGTTCAGCTTGATGAATAATTATTTGTAGTCATTCATGTTATAGTCTTACTCAGTTTCAACATTTCTGAAATACAATCTTCCTTTTTTTTTTTTTTTTTGTTCAGAGTAAATTCACATTTACCCTGTAAAATTCATTCAAAATGAGTCTAAATTAACTCTGGACATAATTGGGCATTTCTATGTTTACCACTTGAGTAAAGTTTGTCACCTGCAGATATTGTCAGGAATGATTTCTAAATTTCCTTAGACCACTAGTGAAGCTAAAGAATAGACTTAAACCAAGAATAAGTTCTTGTGGGAAGCCGTTAGTAACAGCCCCATTGGATGAGAAGCAGGTAAAGATGGATCTGAAAATTCATCAAACTTTATTTTTAAAATCAGATTGTAGAGGAAGTCTAAACTATTTGGCGTTATTTTTATCAGCACTCTTCTGCTCTCTAACAGTGTGAAATCTGGCAAACGTTATTTGTAGATCACATTCCAGCATTATGTTACCTGAACTTTTCACTAAGTACGTTCTGCATGAATCCTTTAAAGAGTCTGCTATCAAAATCTCAGAATCATACTGTTGCTTACGTGTGCGTCAATATTGAAAAGACATTAAATCGCTAGCTTTTACCTTTTGGAGTATTGCCTGTCTTCATTTCACTCTTCAAACTATGGTTTCAAGTTACCTGTTTCTACAAGCATGTTTAATTTTCTTTATCTATTTAACATCCTCCTTAGAGGGAGTTACATTCTAACTACGGAGAGAATGAAGACACAATATTAACAAATTTACAAAGTGGAAATGTTATTTGAGCACCTTTTCTTCTTCAGGAGATAATGTATATAATTAGAGTACTGCCAGTGTACTTGGAAGTGCTGCCCAGAGCCAAAGTGCTAATGCTCCTTATTTGAACGCTATTTTCATTTGCATTAACTGACTTTGCCAGTTTATATAAACATGAAAATATTAATTCCTGCTCTAAATCTAATTGTGTGTGAGTTTTAGTAAAAAACAAAGATGCCACATATGAATGAGCAAATAATGTTTTTGATCCTTCTGTCATGTAACCGTATTCGGGATTCTACACTGCATGTGGTTCAGAGTGGAACCACACAGAAATCAAATTACTTAACTAATCAGAAAATTATATGCAAAAGACTTGTGTATTCATGTTCTAATACCTCATTTGGATAGAGGATAACTCTTACTTAGGAGGCTGGGTATATATATTTTGTATACATACACATATATATGTATATGTATACATCAATTTTATATGTGTGTTTTATATATATGGTATACATTAAAGACAATAATATTCCAAATTTTGACTTCAGATAACCAGGATTTAGTTGGTCTTCCAAATAGATAGGCTTTATCTGATTCTTATTTCCGTATGTATTGAAATGTTCTGTTTGTTTATAATTTGGCTATTCATTGAACAGTCACGTCACGTTCATTAAATATTTAATTATCAGTTTCCTTATCTGAATGCCGTCTTTGTCAGTTCCTAGAATTTTAGCCTTAAGGTCCCCAGAAATGTGTTGTATGTTTGCATTTGCTAGTTAAATGCTGATATCGTATATTTCAACTTTTGGTAATGGAAGCAATAGTCTCAGTCATGTGTTTCTGTAGATTGAAGTGGGAGGTGGGGGAGGATGTGCACTGTTGACCGTTGAGTTACTTCTGGGAAAAAAAGCATGAATTGGGCAGCAGACCATTGTTGTAGTACTTACCACTGAAGAGCAGCTTTAGAGCTATTCACTTTTCCAGTCCAGTTAGTTGTCAAGGTAAATCCATTCAAAGGGGGTCAACCCTAAGTATTGTGGGGGGGTGGCAGCTGGCCAGTACCGCTTGGCTTCAGGCGTTTCTTAAACCTGTAGGTATACCCTACCTATACAAAAGCCACTTCATTCAACTCATCATCATATTATTATATCTTTTCTCATTTTGCCATCGTCCTCTTGGAAGAGGTTGACCTCACCATCATAAAGTTCATAGTCTTTCTAGTTTATACAGCAGTAGAATGCCTTGTTTTAGTCTCTGTTCCTTTTCCAAGAGTTTCTAACGTTTTGTTTGCTAGTTTGAATGCTGCTGCTGGTTGAATTGGCGTTCTTTGGGAAATCCTGACAATCCCCAAATTCTTTCCAAGTGCTCACAGCTGATTTAACGCACATCACTTTGCATAGTTAAAATTGTTTCCCCATGTGCGTTACTTTGTGTTTATTGACATTGAATTTCATTTTCCATTTTTATAGCCTACTTGATCAGTAATCTGAGATTTTTTTTTTTTTTTGGTAAGTCTTTGCAGTCAGTCTTAGGTCAGACTTACTTCCCTGTTCACCTTTATTCCCACGTGTTTTTCCATGACTGTGTTCAACATGAGTGTCCTTAACTATATCTCTGTTCTATAATGAGTTTAGTATTCCTATAATAAATGCTTCTTTATTCTTTAGATGTGCACAAGATGTTTTTTGCCTAATTGTGGATTTCAGTAGTTTCGGTCTCATTCGTTTTTACTGTATTGAGTGTGCTAAAAACTTGAAGGATCGCTTAGTTTTAGGTCCACTTGTTAAAACTGCCTAAAACAAAAATATGCTTAATACAAAGAATATTTAGGAAACAAGTTCATATGTAGTCTGGATTCTGCTACTTCATGCTTCTAGAAAGGCTAGTAAGGAACTCCAGGGGTTAGTGCTGCTGAGAAGCGATTGAAATTCATGAAACATATTAAGTTGAGAAAGTTGAGGTTTTAGAGATAGGAGGAGAAATAACTGAGGTATTAATTTAAACATAACTTGAATTTTTTGTCTTAGCTGTCTACAGAAGTCTTCTTTCTGTTAGAGTTATAATCTTTGTGTTTGGAGGTATATAGGGATTAGCATAGTGTTCCAGAGCTTATCGGAGAAAAGCTGATTCTTAAACTTCTTCATGAACAAAGTTTGGCTAAGAGTTAGTTGGTCCTCTTTCCCAGTTGACTAGATCCAGCCACTTGTCTTTCTCCTATTAACTCCATACAAAGTTACGCTGAATTCATTCCCTTTCTTTTTCTCTCCCCGTACCTGAGCTTGAGGCTACCACCATGTGCCTTGTTCCTTCTGCTACAAACTGCGCTCCTGAGTAGCCGAGAACCTATCCTGGTTATGCTGCTGCATTGAAAAAATACTTGATCACACGTATCTGACTTGCCGCGCTTTACTGATTTGGCATCTCACCAGTGCAGTACAACTCACTGCATGGGAATTTCTGTTCTAGGGGATGCTTCTGAAAGAACGTGGTGCTTATTAAAGAGAGTGATTTGCAAATTCTCTCTAAAACAAGGGCATCTATGTTTTTTTCTCTTCAGTTGTGGCCTTCCGGTAGCATGGTTTAGGTTTGTGCAGTGGATTGTTCTGGTGAGGCTTTCAGTTTATGTTCAACGTTGAACATTCTGATTTGCCAAATACATAGATTGGTAGCAAAAATGATGAAACTTCCTCTTTATTCAATAATGTGTTAACAGTATTCTTCATTTATAAGTATTCAATATCAAATTAAAATATCAAATGCTATGAATAAATAAAGGAAAGCTAGGATTACTGTGTACAGTGTAGATCAGTGAGGTTTTTATTTCAAATACCACTGTTTCATTTAAACTTCTTTTTTCTACAGTCTCACTTTATTTCTGCACTGACAGTGGTGTTTGTAAACTCCAAATCCCTGTCTTCATTGAAGATCGATGATACACCAGTAGATGATCCGTCTCTCAAAGTACTAGTGGCTAACAACAGTGACACACTCAAACTGTTAAAAATGAGCAGTTGTCCTCATGTTTCTCCAGCTGGTAAGCTACTGTGTCTTTGTTCTGGTTTTTAAAGTGTATTTGTTAAACTCTTTCTAAAAAACAGTAAGCCTCTTGGAGAGGGGGAACGAGGGGAATAGAGCGATGCTGAATGTAGCGACTATATATAGCAGCTGTCTCAGAGGAAGATACTATTCAGCTGCTTGTCCGTCCATCCCACGCTTCTCTCCCCAGGAGTATTGCAGAATGAGTACTTGGCTAATAATAAAATAGTGCATGGCTATTTTGGACAAATAAGTAACTGCTTGTGGAGGTTCAGAGAGTATGTACTGACTTGATAGTTGCATTACTTCTGCAATGATAATGTAAGCATTTCAGTATAATTAAGCATTTTTGGAATGCAAGTTCTTTTTCAGCAGTTCCTAATATATGTGATTTGAGGTTTTGGAATGTCACGCCTTATGAAGGTGTTGGCTTAGTTGTTTTGAAAGAAAAGTTTAATCTTTTGCTGGAGAACAAGTGCAGGCAGCACTCAAAGGGGAGATGAGCCTGAGCTGTGCAGAACTGTCGTTACCAGTTACACTTCATTAACAGTGTAAAAGGGTGTTTGTAGCAAAAATGAAGCTAGCCCATATCAGAATGACAGCCTTATCCAGTTTATTGCAGTTCATAGAACTCTCACTTGTGGAAGACTTGCACAATGCAGAGCATTCCTAAGATTGTTTTCACAGATTATATGTAGCCTGTCAACACATACAGTTTTTCAGCAAGGATTGGAAGAAGAGCCATAAGTGAGATGCGAGTAACTTTGCTAAATTTCTTTTCGTATGTTGCGCAGAAACAACAAGATAGCTTTTATCATGCTAATATATTGTGATCCAAATTATTAAATATATTACACGTAAAATTCACCAGCAGGAGTCCTAAGAATATGGGAAGATGATACTGTAACAGAAGTCATTTTGTTGTAGCCACGATAAAAAAAAACCCACAAACTTGATACCCTTGCAGGGGAAGTTCTCAAACACGAGGTTTTGTGTTTGGTTTTATATGAATAAATCCTGAGAATGCAGATATGTTTTGCAGCAGATCTGTCTAGCAGAGTGTTTACCAGCATGTTAATTGAGATGTTGTTTCTTTCAAAGCTTGATAAGCATAGATAGAGCTTTACTTAAATTAGATGACCATTTTTTTCGACTTAAACTTTCATTTGAGAATCCTTGCATGCCTGAGAAGTACAGAAGCTGTAACATGTACGTCTAGAGGAGGAGGCTCTAGCAGTAGTTTGTAGCAAGGTGAGGGGAGTAGGTCCCTTGGATTTGGATCCAAGAGCGTCCTGGTCGCATCAGCCCTAGCAGCCCTAGCCCTAGAAACAAGGAGCACGACTACTGTTGCGCTTCCTAGAATTGAGATTAATAGAAGGAAATCAGCTACGTTAGTAACAAAGCCAGAGGGAGTGCTACATAAATGGCAGAATAATTTGATCACTTAATGGAGGTCTGGATGTGCTTTGAGAAGGAGAAAAGAGTGGAACAAAGCAGAAAGAGGCTTGTTGGCCTCAGAACAAGCAGAGTGCAAAAGTGAGACTGTCCAAGGAAAATGAGAAGCTTTGAGCACTGACTTACTCCCCCACCCCCACCCCGGCAGTATCCTAATTGGGCTGCTATAAACTGTGGAAAAAACTTTGATTGAACCAAAAGGACCGTGAGTTACCCCAAACTAACTCCTTTTGGATGCACTGCACATGGCATTACAAGCCTTCAAATTGAAGTTCCAGGGAGGTGTTCCATCCTAGATTACTACTTAAGACTTTAATTATTAGTGAAGGGCAGAGAGGAATAATGCAGGTAGTGCAAAGAGAGACACCACTATTGCAGGGATGAAAGGAAAGACTGATATCAAACTGTGAATTGCTTCCAAAAGATGTTCCGAGTAATCCATAAGTTACTGTGGAACATAAAAGGCATGTTTGGGTTTGGGCTGGAGAATACAAGGGCAGTGAAATATTTCTAATCTGTGTGAGTGTACCTGAAATTTCTGCTGCTTGCTGTTTCCCATCTGGACTTTAACCCATGTTAGAACTGGAACAGCACCTTGTAAAAGAAGATAGTGGTTATTCTTAAATCTACATTGATGCGCTGTCTTTTATTACCTGACATACTAGCTATTGCAATAGAGGGGACTGAAAGTATTTCTGTAAAGGTTGCAGGTCTGCTCTAGGGGTGAGAGGGTCGCTCCCCTTTGGATAAGGGGGTAGGGGAGAGGATGGGTAGGCTGTGCCCACATTAGCAGTATAGCACACAGGAGAGTTCTTTTGATGGCAATCTGCCAGAATTTGTAGTAGGCACTCAAAGCAATTTACTTCTACTGACACAAACGTTAAGACTGTGCCCAGGGATGCTTGGTAGGGTGCACAACTCGCAGAATGGACTCCAGGCTCTCCTGCAGTCTACGCGTGCATCCTGCACAGAGAACTGTGACGGAAACAAATTCCGTGGATGTGCAGTCCTAGAACCATAATGGATCTCAGCACATTGAACCCCAGTCCTTCCATCTTTGCGTTGCACTAGTCACTACTGTAAATGTACCCTTTATAAAGATTATTTTTTGAAGGATGCCAGCTTTGCATTTGCATGATGAGTAACAAGTGAGTTTGGATGCCAGAAAGTGTAGCAAGTTTTTTCCTGAAACTGTGTAGTGATAAGACAGGGTTTGTGGCCATTCGTAGGAGGATTGCTGTAAGAATCACTTTGTCTCTTGTGATTTATGGACAAGAAAAGATCTCTGGCATGTGTTTATGGGGCACAGAATTCAGTAATTAGTTGTTTTACACTTGTACTCTGATCTTTAAAGTTTTCACTTCATCTTGGAATTTTTTCTATGAATTGAGTATGTTTCCACATCTGAACTGTTTTTACAGGAACCAGGTGCAGTAAGAGTTTGGTTAAAATTCTATCCTGTTAAGGTCTATCAGTCCAACAACCGTTTTATATTTGAAATTACAGTATTTGATGTAGCCACAACTGCTTCCATTTGATGTGGTTTTTTTTTCCTGACCCCGAAGTGGAAAACTCATACAACCTTTTTTCCAGTAACTTTCTTTTAAAAGAAAGAAAGCAGCCTATTTTTAGGTTCAGTATAGGCTTCTTTTTGAGCTTAGTAACTGCAGCTTAAAATAGCTGCTGTCTTTTAATATTTCTTCCCATTGTTTCAAAGCTGTAATGTATTGAGCTCAGATTTTGCGGTTACATATTAAATGTTATGTTCTCATCTCCTCTGTTAATGGCAAGACCTAATTTCATGCGATTGTCTGAGTCACACGAAATGCAGAAGACTGTATAAAGGAAGTACTGTTCTAAAACTGTTACCTGTGCATTAATATTGCCTGCGTCTGTTTGTGAAGTTTTCAGTCATTCTGTTATCTTGAGTTCTTTTTGTTAGTGTCTTTGTCTTCCATAAGCAGCAGGTAATTTTGATGTGCTTAGAGGGAGAAAGAGAGTCTGAAAATCACTCTTCTAGCAATTACTGCACCCAGTTTTTATTGTTTTTCCCTATTTCCCCTCTTCTGCTCCATGTTTTCCAAGTCTAATTATTTATACTTTGTTAGAAAGAATGGAGAGCAGCACCTCCTGATCTATGTTATAGTCTAGCATTCATTTTAAGTATGCTTTCCTCTGGTGGCAGATTGCATTCGTGGCCGCTTTGTCAGCCATTGACATGGTCAGCAGTTGTTCCAGAGCAGACTATGGAAATATTTTCATTATGAGTAAGCCCCTTTTCCAACAGTGACTGAGTATGCATGGACTTAGGGCAGGGCAGAGCAGTCAGTCTGCTGTCAGTGTATTTGTCATATTAGAATTAAATCCCACAGGAAAAGTGTACAATGTGATGTGTTAACTTTTTTACGTTTCTCTAGCAAAATAGCAGTACAGTCACCTAGTGTGTGTATATCTTACTGCATAGATTCAAAGAATATACAAGAGCATCCTTATGTGAATAAGGCAGATTCATATTTGTGTTGTCCAGTTTGATTTTGTTTTGATGTTGTGTCTTGATCATGTGCTCAAATATCTTTGCATCTTCTTGACACGCATAAACAAACCTACTCTTATGTGACACTGTTTTCTTGTTCAATTATTAGTGTATTTATCTGTTTATGTAACCCCTTTCAAAATGTTCCTTCTCGCAAGGTATCCTTTGTGTGGCTGACCAGTGTCACGGTTTACGTGAGTTGGCGCTAAACTACCATCTGCTAAGTGATGAGCTTCTGCTTGCGTTGTCTTCTGAAAAACATGTCAGACTAGAACACTTGCGTATTGATGTCGTCAGTGAAAATCCTGGACAGACTCAGTTCCACACAATTCAAAAAAGCAGCTGGGACGCTTTCATCAAGCATTCTCCTAAAGTAAACTTAGTAATGTACTTTTTCTTGTACGAAGAAGAGTTTGACCCATTCTTTCGTTATGAAATACCTGTCACTCACCTTTACTTTGGAAGATCGGTAAGCAAAGATGTACTTGGCCGTGTTGGGATGACGTGTCCTCGTTTAGTTGAACTCGTTGTATGCGCCAATGGATTACGGCCACTGGATGAGGAGCTGATTCGTATTGCAGAACGTTGCAAGTATCTGTCAGCTGTTGGCCTAGGCGAGTGTGAAGTCTCTTGCAGTGCCTTTGTTGAGTTTGTCAAGATGTGTGGTGGTCGTCTCTCTCAGCTTTCTATTATGGAGGAAGTCTTGATTCCTGACCAGAAATATAGCTTAGAGCAGATTCATTGGGAAGTTTCAAAGCATCTTGGTAGAGTCTGGTTCCCAGACATGATGCCCACGTGGTAAAGTTCTTAAAAGACTTCAGGGCAGATGGAATAGCACCTTAAACCCAAGCCTACCATATTGCAATTTATTATATGAGCTTACTTAATACTATAGTTTTTATTGTAAGTCACTGCATTGTTTGATAGAAAATTAATTTCTCACTTAAAAATTACTTCTGAAATCCAGATTTAAAGATAGAAATTGTACATAGGTCCAAAACCCTTTTTTATCTAAGGGAAGTGTTTTCTGTTTAGATTTACTCTTTTCATGGACAGTGACCACAAACTTCTATAGAAATAAAAAAAAAAAAAATTACAATATTGAAATGTACCTGTGAAACATCAGGTGTCCGTATGCTGTCCTTCTTGATTTAGATGCTAGTACTGAAAACAATTGGATTTGATCCTAAAAACAGATTAAATTGCGTGCTTCTGTTGGAGACTATAGCATTTCTAAATGCAGTCGCCTAGATGACAGGAACAAGATTATACGGAATATTTAGTATGCTGTGAAACGTGCACCTTATTTTATATACAAATCATAAGAGGCAAGAGCAATACACAGCAATATAATTTAGATAATTAAAATATTAAATTTGCTACCTTTATTCAACAAATTATTAAATCCAGCTAATGTATTTACAGTGTAAGCAAATAGTAATGAGAGTTAACAAAAATTTGGATTTTTTTTTCTTCTATGCATTTTAATGTAGTTTGCTTATGGGGTCTTGGATCCATGCCTAAACCTGTTTTAAGGTATTATGTTTAGCTCAGGAAGCGGAAGCATTCTGGGGAAAAAATGTAGATATATTGTATTTAAAAACATATTGGAGTTAATGGGCTCTTCTTGCGCATTAACCAGTTTTGCAGCATAAGGTTAGACAGATAAGTGCAAGCTTTATTAGATGAACACTGCAATGTTAAATAAACATGATGACATGGATGTGAAGAGCATAGTGAAAGAAAAGAAAGTTAACATTTGAGTTGTGACCAAGAACCTTTTAACAAAATCTTAGACCTATTCGCTGCTTAAAATCTGGGGGAAAATGGCTTTGTAACAGTTGCTTAAGCTGTATAAACTACCTGTATACTGTAAATTTGTTTCAGAAACGTTGATGTATAAAGTGAATGTTTGATAGATGATCATTTTGTATACCTTTAATTAAGCTAGTTCAATCCCTTCATAACATTTAAAAACCTAAAAGCAGTCAACTTGCGTGAATTAAGCAATCAACAAAGAAGAGCAATACTCAAAATTTTTTTGAATATTGGTAAGTCCATTTATTAAAGGAAGTATTAGTCTGTAACTGGTATAGGCAGCGTAACACCCATAATCTGGATGTGGCTTGTGACTTCATTTCTTAATGCCAGCAGTTACATTATCACCGTTATTACATTTTCTCTTTTGCATTATTGATTCGTAACACTAAAATATTAACGTGGCTGCTGAATGTGTTTGAAAGGTATAATCGGCCATCAGCAAGGTAAAGCCCTCCCCAGTTTGGGGCTGTATTGAACTTTGCCGGTGGTTTCCTTTCATTTGAGCTGTACAGCTAGTCCTAGTAATAAGTAGATTTTCTTTACTTCTGACTTGAGTAGATGTTTATCCAAATGTATAGGCCAATTGTAATACACTTATGAGCATATTTAAGTTCCTAAGTATATTTTGAGCAAGCATTGCTCAGTGGACTGGACATCTTTACAGAGGAGTTGTATGTTTCTGTAGAGTTTTGTGATTTAATAATCTTCATTTTATTAAATGTGTTTTTGTATTAGATTTTTGTTAAATTAATGTAATACTATAATTTGCTTTTATTTGTATAAAAGGTGTCGATATATTTAGACTGTAAAAGTAAAGAAAACAAACAAACAAAAAAAAACTTGTTGTATTCTGACTCTTGGAATTGCCAGTGTCTTAGTGATAAAAATGGAGTAGCACTAATAATCTGGAGAAGAGGGAATGTTTTCACTGAATTAATGTTTGAAGTAATTTCATCCAGTAATGCCGCTAAAATCTCATTGGGCCTGGATTGCTGGTGTCATGATTTTGGCCAGGGAAGCAATACTTGGGTCTGCCGCCTACTGCTGCGCTAGTGGGAATAAATGAAAGGCAAGGCAGCTAACTTTAATCTCCGAGTTCCCTCAGTTATTGATGTATCGCTTTAGGAATTTGTATCTCTGAGGTTCAGCCTTCTGCTTCTCATAGCTAACATCTTCCTCACCTCACCTTAAATTGTGAGGTGGGGAAGATGTTAGTGGCTGAAGGTGTGCTGAGGTGCTTAACTGTAATTGAAACGCTTTCCCTAGCAGGGTAACTGGCTGGCTTTTTCCGAGGAGGACTCTGGCAGCTTTGTTGCGGAAACTTCGAAAAAAGCAAAATACAAAACCCGCTTCCTATGTTGTGTGCTCCATTAAAAGCTGGAGTTATCCCTGTCCTTCTGTGTTGGTGTAAATGCCACACAGAATTGTATCACTATCAAAGTGGAGTTAGTGTTGTTTAAGGGAAAAAAAAACACTTGAAAGTGGTTGTCTCCCTTCCACTGAAGGTCTGAAGTTCTTATACACAAACCAGTTGCGGCATTCTCAGTTCAAATAATCCAGCTCTAAAACATACTTTCTGGGAAAGTCTGAATTCTAATTACCTACCTTGAGTCTAAATGTTAGTGAAACTATTTCCAGTACAATGATTAGTCAGCTTTCAGCTGCACCTCTTCCAAAATTGTGTCTTGCAGTGGTGGAGTTTAATTCCACCCAGTTATGCATTCTTTCGAGCTTTCTGTTCAGAACCTTAAATCTCTCAAGCCAAGTATTCAAGTGAGGGGTTGTCTCCCCAGAATATGGACCTGTGAAGTCATACATACTCGCATCAAAAAGCGGAAGTGAAGAACACAAGCTGGCATGTGTAAGTGGCTGCCTGTAGGAATCAAATTATATACTACTATATTGCTGAATATACTGACAGATCTTGTGTTAGTCTTATTTTAGAAATGATGCCTTCTTTCTGTTTCTTACCAGAAGCAGGAAGAAGGGATGCAGTATCCCTGACAAGTAGCTATTCAGTTATCTCTGTCCTTTTTTGTTGCTACACATTTATTGTTCTCTAATTTCTGGCGAAAACATATTAGGCTGTACCAGTTTCTCGTCAAAGTGACGCCTTGTAGCTTCTGGAGTATTAAAGCAAAATATGCTAAATTGAGCAAATTGTACAGATTAAGTAGGAAAAGTGAGACAAGCTCTGTTGCATTATACAGGTACAAAAACCCAGCAAGACAGCATGTACTGAGAGAACCATGAAGTTATGTATGTTCAGGCATAGCCATGAAAAGTGATTGTTTCTTTAATACAGACACCCCTTATTTTGATCAAATTCTTTAATCATTATGAAGGTCTCGCCTCTGTAATCACCTGTACAGTACATCATAAAGCTGCCTGAAGTTATTGTATAATCTCTCCAGATAGTACCAGTGCATGAACACCCATCTCTTTGATGGCTTGGAGCTGAGCAATACATCTGTAACATGCTGGATTCAAAACCATCTGCCACTGCATATGTATTTCAGGATTTGGTATTTCCAGTTCAGTAGGGCCTTTCAGTGCAGCCCAAACAGCAGCAGCCCTGGCTGTTGCCGGGGTTGGGGGGGGGAGGGGAATGACTTTGGTGCCTAGGCTTCCTAGGTCCCATATGAAGAAACCCCAGTAATGTAAAGTGGAAGAATGATGATGCCAGGCTGAGCAGAGAACCTCTTTTACCAGTTCAGTAGGGAAGGCTGTGGATCACCCCACCACAGCATCTGCCTCATGCTCCGAAAAGTCAGTGCAGCCTGTTCCAACAGCATAAGCTTTGTAGCATATGCTAGAGAATAAGCTTTTTTGGTGCTTCTGCTGGCCTGGTTCCATGAGCCTATTTCCCTTTAGACCTCTGGCTTTCAGGTCCTTTGAGGCTCTTACCTGGGCAGATGCAGGGGTAACCTTGCACCTGCAACCCTGAGGGGTTTCAAAGTCATAAGAACCTGCATCAACACGAACTTAATCCACTGTAGATAGGCTTGCAGTGCCCCTTCATCTTCCCTCATGCCTCCCAGATTGCTTTCTTGGTGTGTACTGTGCAGACTCTTAACAACCCAAGTGTTAAGTAAGTCTGGGAGCCTGACGTGGGCCTCCAGAGTCCTCTCATGTTGAGGTAGAAAAAGAACTTTGAGTTTCATACAACAGTGGCAC